ATTGCTACGCTTGGCTCTTGAGGGTTTACAACATTAAAATGTTTTAATTACAGTAACTGACTATGTTCACTGTTCTTATATATACAGTGGCGGATCCAGAAATGTTGATAAGAGGGGGCCCGCTCCAGTCATGCTTCAGTGATTCCCAATATAATCAACCAAATTTTTCCCAAAAAAGGGGGGCCCAGGCCCCCTGAAAAACCCTCTAAATCCGCCTCTGATATATAGCATTTTGTATTGCTTGGTTTAAATTTACAATGCAAGTCTTTTGAATAAGAGTAGAATTGTGAGTTTGGTTTTTTTTTGTTGTTTTTTTTTAATTTGTTCTCGTATTGAAAAAATTATGAAAGTTTTCATGTACCATGTATTGCAATTTTTTCAAGTACTTAAAAAAGGGAAAAAAGATGAGTTTCCTTAAATTTTCATTGATTGTTATTAAGGGGTAAAAGAGATAATTCCCTTTGTCTAGGTAATTTTTATGTGTCCTACATATCATTTTAAATTTTAAATTTATCTTAATGTATCATCAAAGAAAGAAGAAAAAAAGAAAAAAAAAGAGTAAATATTATTAAAATGCTGCATCTGGGGAAAATTAGAGTTACTTCCCTTTGCCCAGTAAATCTTATTGATATCTTCATGATCTTGCTTTACACCAGAAATTGATTTTAAAATGAAAACAAATTTGTCGATTGGTAGTTGGAATATTCAGGGCCTAGGAGGTAAATTAGAAGATGACTATTTTTTATCTCGTCTAAAATATGACATAAATATTTTAATGGAAACTTGGAAGGGTGCTGATTCAGTACAAACATTATAAATTTTAATTATGTTCAGAAGTCTAGAAAAAAGAAATTAAGATCCAAAAGATATAGTGGAGGTATCATTGTATATTATAAATCTACCCTACATAAAGATATATCAGACGTTTTAAATGTAGCAAAATCTGACAAACAGGCTATGGTTAAAGCTTGATAAATTGTTCTTTGGTTTAAAAAAGATATATATATGTGTCTGCATGTTATATTCCACCATTGACATCTACATATTTTAATGATGACTTTATAATACTTGAAAATGAAATATCAAAGCTGTCATCCAAAGGTAATATTCTTGTCATTGGAAATCTTAACGCTAGAGTCAGTAATCATTTAGATTTTATTTCCACAGGCACATGTCTCAGAAAAAAAATTCCCATATACCTTAATATTGTTATATTAAGGTATATAGGAAATTTTTTTCTGAGACAAGTGCCTATGTTTATTTCTGATAAAAATAATATTCATGATGATCTTTTGAATTTATTGCCAGATGACAATCTGGGTGGTTCATATATATATATAGAAATTCTTTAGACTAAGTATTAAATTTTCATGGAAAACAACTTATTGATCTATGTATTGCCTCCAGGCTCAGAATACTTAATGGTAGATTTGTAGGTGATCTTTTTGGTAATGTAACATGATATAAGCATAATGGTTCTAGCACTGTTGATTATGCCTTGTCTGACATGGATATGATGTCCTCTATAGAATATTTTTATATTGTGAACCAACATATTTGTCAGATCATGTCCCTATATCTGTAATACTGAAATGTAATATACAGAACGTAAATGTCAGAAAAACTTTACTCAGATAGGAGCGAAATATAGATGGGAGAATACATCAAGAGACAAAATGATTGAAGTACTAGGGGGAAATTTTATTATACAACAAATTAGAGATTTCGAAGACTCACAGTATGAACAAACTTTTTCAGGAATTGACAAGGCAACGTCTATTATCACAAATATTTTTGAGAGCCTAGCAAATAAATCCTGTAAAATTTTAAGATATAAAAAATCAAAACAAAAAATACTAAACAGAAAATCATGGGTATCCACTTCATTTGATCTCTGGTGGATAGTTGTCTCATTGGCAATCATATCACATCTCCCTGTTTTCATAAAGAGTTATAGTTTGTGATAAATAATTTCAAATACTGATAACGATTTTAATCCGTAATCGTGATTTTTCAAATTCATGATCTCGAATTCAAAGTATATTTTTGGGAGGTCCTTAATAGGCTTATGTAGTCTTATATAGACTAGTCTTTCTTTTAGTATTGATAGGATTGTACATACGAATTCTAAATAGAAAATAGGCCAAAACCTGTATTATAAGTATTCGGTGCAATTCTGTTTTAGCAGTTGTAAAATTGTCAAAATTTGCTATTCATACATGTGTGTTCGTTTTTCCATATTTGTTTTTAGCGGGAACATGAATATATATACTATAAACTAATAAAGTATTCAAATAGGGGATGAACAGTACTTTTTAAAGAAAGTAAACGACTAGATTCCGTTCTACTGTACTATAAAAAAGTGTGCCGAAAACTAACCAATTTACCTTATAAATATACAAACCATTCAGATGCAAACTTTTGAGATTGTTGAATGACTCACTATGAATTTCAGAAAAAAAAGTACAAATGTTTAATCACCGGCAGGGCATAACTTGTTTATTTTATTCGGCAAAATTAAATTATCGAGTATAAGGTATTGTAGGATGGATGGATGGATGCTTAACGTCCAGCGGCAAATTGATATGCATATCCAGGACGAGAACATGTTAATGTAATATGAATACTAACCCTGCTTTGTACTAGACCGACACACTGAGCCGGATTTTTAACGTGCTAGTTCACAGGGTAACCGTTCGCAGGAAGACATGACATCTTACCCGGACACATTATTCTGACTCCGAGCCGAACAGTCTTTGCATGCTCTTACTCCTTAATGCCGCGTGCTTAGCGGAGAGGCATCATTAAATACCAATTTTAATGTCATTGGTTTGACCCGGCCGGGGTTCGAACCCACGACCTCCCACACTCGAGGCGAACACGCTACCACGAGACCACCGAGGCGGTAAGTATTGTAGGATCTCCTGTTTTAGATTTGTTACAGATTTATTCTTCTTTTTTTCAGATTACAAATGTATGCACAACCTAATCTCTTATCCACAAAGAATAAAGTATTTGTTTACAAAATTTTTAATCCTCCCCCTTTTATACCCTCGCAAATAAAAAATTTTGATAGGAAGATACATATATATATAAGAAGATGTGGTATGAGTACCAATGAGACAACTCTCCATCCAAGTCACAATTTGTAAAAGTAAACCATTATAGGTCAAAGTACGGCCTTCAACACGGAGCCTTGGCTCACACCGAACAGCTAGCTATAAAGGTCCCCCAAAATGACTAGTGTAAAACCATTCAAACAGGAAAACCAACGGTCTAATCTATATAAAAAAACAAGAAACACTTATGAACCACATCAACAAACGACAACCACTGAACATCAGGTTCCTGACTTAGGACAGGTGCAAAAAAAATGCAGCGGGTACGTCTACTATATTATTCCAGGTTCGAATAATAATCATTTGAAAATATTTTTCATCATTTCATAAATGCATGATTAAAATGTTACCTAATTATGACATTTACGTACTCAAATTGCATTACAATATTCATGTACTCACACTTCATTATAACATTTATGTACTCAAACTTCATTATAACATTTATGTACTCAAACTTCGTTATTATATTTATGTACTCAAACTTCAATATAACATTTATGTACTCAAACTTCATTATAAAAATTATGTATAACATTTATGTGCTCAATCTTCATTATGACATTTATGTACTCAAACTCCTTTATAACATTTATGCACTCAAACTTCATTATAGCATTTATGTACTCAAACTTCATTATAATATTAATGTACTGAAACTTCATTATGATATAAACATACTCTTTTTTTCATTACATCATTTTTCCGTTGATATTCTTTGTCACTTTTTTAAGACACATAACACAGATACATGTCCATATAGGTCCGTTTAACTATGACGAACATATATGAGGGTCGGGGAGGAGGGGGGGAGTCCTTCATCCTTCATTTCTGTATTCTAATTATTTAATGTCATTTTTCTTTATTTATATTTTTTGTAAAGATTCATGTTGTAAATTTTGCTTGAAAAAAAAAGGCCGAAATTCATTTCATTTTTTAAACAGTCCTGTATATAAGGGTCTGGATGGTACGTCTTCATATCTGTATTATTTAAATTTAGACAATATTTCACTATCCTTTATTATTTTTTTTTGACCATTTGCTCTCTAATCTTTATAGGGGCCTCGGTGGCCGAGTGATCTAAGTAGTTACTCCTGTAATCACTAGTCAGTCAACACTGAGGTTGTGAGTTCGAACCCCGCTTGTACGGGTGCACTCGACTCCAATCTTAATTGACTAGGATTGTCAGTTTGCCTATCGAAGGTCGGTGGTTTTCTCCGGGCACTCCGGCTTCCTCCACCAATAAAAACTGGCCGCCACGAAATAGCCCAAAAGCGGTGCTTAAAAGTGGCCTTAAAACACCAAAAATCAAAAATCAAATATAATCTTTATATTTTTGCCAATTGTTCTCTTTTCTTTATATTTTAACACCCCATTATTTTTGCTCTATTCTTTATTTTTGGGTCCATTTTCTGTAGTATTTATCCATCATACCCTATTTTAAAAACAACATCCAGGCCCTCATAAATATTTTTCATATTGACATAAAGTTCTTTGGTCGAGAAAGTTTTTCTATTGTATTCTATCAAAATTCTTTGAATTTCTTGTATAACGAATATCTAAGACATAGCATCTTTAATATATTTCAGGATTAACAAGATGCACTTTTCTCGGACCACGATTACGTATTATGGACTTTTAACATTGATGTCAATTGGCACTGGCATTCTGTTCATTATTTGTTATCTCGATAATATCTTTCCGATACAGTTGGTAAAAACAAAATCAACAGGAATTGCAGATCAAAATATTTACAAGAAAATATATTCAATAACGTGGAATAAACGACCTAGCGGCATACCAACAGGTCTGTTCAAATACAAATTTAGGAAGTGTGAGTTCAGGAATTGCAAGATTGGTGTAGCATCGGATAAAATTTGACTTGGTAAAAGCGATGCTGTGTTATTTTATCATACTAGCCTAAATGGTAAGGTTCCAACAAAGTCGTCCAATCAGAAATGGGTATTTATCTCTGTTGAATCTAAAGCATATACAAGCAAAAACTTTTAAAAAAAAGAATGGGTGAATAAATTTGATTGGGTATTCAGCTATAGAACAGATGCTGATATCTATTATCCGTACGGACTACTGGCAAGAACAAAAATACAATCCGAGAAAAACTACACAAATATTTTCCTTCAAAAGACGAAAAATGTTGCTTGGGTAGTAACCCATTGTAATGCTGTATCTAGGAGGTACACATACATTAAGAAGATGAATAAAACCATAGATGTTGACGTATTTGGAGGGTGCGGTAAAAAATGTTCTTCTCCTTGGAATGATGACTCCTGTTTTAAGGATTTAAGTAAAGTATATAAATTTTACTTGGCGTTTGAAAATTCTCTATGTGAAGACTATGTCACTGAAAAGGCATACCGGTTCTATCAGGACGGTTTTGACCTAATTCCAGTGTACCGAGGAGCTCCGAATATAAGAAACATTTTACCAAAAGGTACATTTATCTCCTCCTTAGATTTTTCATCGCCTAAAGAACTAGCTTTACATCTAAAACATGTGGGAAGTAATAAAAGTTTGTACACTAGTTATTTGAAAGCAAAAGATCGGTTCTTGTCAAGCTTGTATACACGACAGGAGATGCTGCAATCTCTTCATTGTTCTGTTTGTGAAAAACTCAACACAGGGTATAAACGAAGCACCAAATTGAATTTAACACACTGGATGTTTGAAAAGAAATGCCTTCTCCCCACAGACATTTGACAATATGATATGCAATTGCGTAGCTTAAATTGAGGCAATGAGGCAACTGCGTAACTAAATGTTTTACCGTCAAAAAAGAGAAGGAAATATTTAATACAACTTTTTCTGTAATGGCCCTTATCATTGACTTCTCCCCCTTTACACAATCATACCTTGTTATAAACACAAAGTTAGATTGATAAAATTATTCCAGCTTTGTTTTATATACAATGAACAAAGGATACATACATATCATGTTTGAGGAAGGGACAAATCGTATCATGCAAAACAAAACCACGCTGCAGTCGGACAAACGGAAGCGTCTGAGTAAGTACATCCGGTTGTCCTACTGGGATATAGAAATATCATGTTTGAGGAATGGACAAATCGTATCATGTAAAACAAAACCACGCTGGTTCAAAATGTTCTGGTAATCATTCATATAGGAACCAAAGGTGTTTATCTTATTCCTTTAATCCTATTAGGCAGACTTTATTACAGGGGCTTCCCAAGAAGAATGAAAACAAACTACAATGTCGCATTATTCTGTAAAGTCACGTTTTCCTTGATAGATTACTAATTGAATAATTCAAAAGATCTGTGAAACTGTGATCGCATTTTTGCTATAACGGATACCAAATATACAGTTAGTGCTTCGAAAATTTTTACTTACATCTACAAATTGTCAATGAGCCTCGGTTGAGAACTTTTTTTGACAAGAAAGATGATTTCAATTTTATAATTCTTATTGTCAACTTTTCTCTTTTTGGTAGAAACAGTCTTTCATATAGAGTATATATATCTCCCAGTTGGTTCGATACTTCAGAGCTTGTGTGTCGTACCATGATGTTCCTAAAAGAAAATTGCTTCTGATAAGCAAGCTGTTGAACCAAGTATTTGTATTTGTAAGTTGAAGTTTTCATGTACGTCAACTGTTGAAAGTTTTACTTACGCCACAAGGGTTTGGTTGTTGAATATTTGTGTCACAATTAGCTTATGTTCAGCTTTTCGTTGCCACAATCCTGTAATCCTTTCCTAGTTTATGCAACGTTTTATCGGATTCTTGCCATGAACAATATGATGATTGCCACACTCAAGTAGAACATGGACTGCTTACCCTTCCAGAGCACTTACATGTTAGGTATTTGTCGAGGTTAATGTTGCCTAAGTTTAAGTTTTCATTGGTCTTTTCTGTGGAAATTTGGTTTGTCTGTTCGTCCTTGTTCTCTTAATTATGTTTTTGTCTGACTTTTTTCGACATGGATTTTGATTTTATCTTGGTGTCGTCTAACCTTTTTACACATGCATGTTAGTAAAATTCTATCCTGGTATTCCTATTGTTTAGCTTCAGATAAAAGCTATTGCATATCTTATTTATGAGCGATGTAAGTACATGTATACATATGAATACACGTTATAATAGAATGTGGATGTTAAATATGATGCTTCGTCTAGGGAGAGTGTCTATAACGCTCTCTTACATTAAAGAGCTATTACAACTCATTGAGGATTTTGTAGGTGGCATGTTTCAAAGCAATATTTCTGTCCCCTATATATATATTCAACATAGAGTATTTTCCCATTAGCATGTAGTCCAAATTTCCCAACAATCATCCCATCATTTTGCAGAATCTACTGAATTTAATGTTGGTTTATTTTTGTCCTGAATATGCATGACATATTTGCAACTGAATGGTAAGCAAACAGCAGTCAATCAATCCGTCAATGAATCAATTATTCGGTATATACATGTAATAAGAGTTTTTTGCATCTGAAAATACTACACAATATTTTTTGCGACGCAGGTTTTGTTCTTCGACCATTAAATCCTAATGAGGATCGCAATCACTTGATTCCCAAATCGTTTGCCTTTCTAGAAAAAAAGGGTCAAGCTTATCCCCTACATATAAGTGATATCTAGCAACTGAGTGACAAATCCAAGCAAAAGAAAGGAAGCATGAAGTCAAAAGTATAGAAGGAAACTATACATTTGACATCATGCCTCCTTTCTTTGGCTTGGATTTGTCACTCAGTTGCTAGATATCACTTATATGTAGGGGATAAGCTTGACCCTTTTTACGGTGGTGGAACCCAAGCCTACATAATCTCATTTTCATTGAAAACTATGTCCATGCTTTGATGAAACATTGAGCGCCTTCAAACAGCAATTTGTTTTGGAGAGGATGATTTTTCCCTTATTTCACATTCTCACAAAGTATGAGGTTTCTTGGTTATGCTTATGTTTTTCCCAAAATATATGTATATTGGTGGGGAAAAAAAAAGAATAGGAAAATGTACAATTTAAAACTAATTTGTTGACATGGTAACTCATTGAATGTTATACTGTACGCTGAGCTCTATATTTGTGACATAGTTTTGGCCATATACAGGTCTGAATGCCCCACTCCTTTCTGAATTTTGGGTCCCCAATGCTCTTCAACTTTGTACTTTATTTGGCCTTTTAACTTTTGATTTAATCGACCCTGATGAGTTTTTTTTGTAGACGAAACGCGCATCTTGCGTACAAAATTTAAGCCTGGTATCATTGATAAGTTTTTTATAACAACTGGGTCGATGCCACTATTGATGGAGGTTTCCTCCCCGAGGGAATTACCAACCCAGTAGTCAGCACTTCTGTGTTGACATGAATTATTCTTAATATGGTCATATTTATGAATTTACTGTTTACAAAACTTTGAATTGTTCGAAATACTTGGGATTTTCTACCACAGCAATTCATTACCTTAAGTTTTATTCCCCAAAACATTTTGGTATTTCGAGTCCTCAATGCTCCTCGGCTTCGTACTTTCTTTTGTCTTTTAGTATTTCTATTCGAGCGTCACTGGCGAGTCTTTTGTTGACGAAACGCATGTCTAGCGTACAAAATTATAAGCCTGTTATCATTGGTGAGATTTTTAATATCCTAAATGACAAATTATCATGTAACTGCACCACACAAATGCAGATTATTCTCTGTTTGGGGGTTCACAGGACACACATAATCCTTTGTATAATAAACTTCAACTCATTTAAAAGCAAACTCATGGGTATTTGGTATTTTTGCACAGACTTTTAAACATACGTGTTGCATCTTAGCAAAGACTTCATACATCATTTATATCTTGGTGTTAACTAAATAAATTCAGAGGCTAGGGAATACAGATATAATTTTTCTAATATACTACTTTAAAACTCAAGCAATAAAAATAGTTGACATTTATATTTCACTATGCTGTTAGCGATTTATTTTAGTGACTATCGCGAGTAGAAAAATAACGCATATATATTAATCGTCGCGATGTTTTAAAAAAAATTGATCTTTCCTTATTTAACTACATCAAGTAAATTGGAAAATCGCTAAATTTAATCGCAGCGAAGTGAGATAGAAAGGGCTCTACGCGAAATTAAGTATGAGCGAACATAAGTTGGTTAATTTACTGTATCGACCAAAGTTAAAATGACATAAACAAATAAAGAGAAAACCCATACCGTCTAGTCAGCTCTAAAAGGTCCCGACATTAAAAATTTTAAACGATTATAACGAGAAAACTAACTTAACCCTACCTTAACCTTAGGCAGTGATGTAACAGTAATTTACGCTGGTAAGGGCTTGACTCATCCGATCGACACGAAGCAAAACATGTTTTATTGATTAGTTGTTATTCATTTGTGTTTGAATTAGCTTTCAGTAACTGCAAGTTCACACAGATCGATATGTTGTGTCTTTTGTTTTTAGTTGTTTCGTTGCGTTTCGTGCCAATCTGATGTGCTAAGCCATTTCAAACTAGTTTTACATTTTGTTCTTACATAATGTTGTTACACAACCGTCCAATGCTAATGTAAGGGGTTGCCACTCTCGAACATCTTAAACTTCGCCACATTCCTTATGTGTCTGTCCCAAGTCTTCAATTTAGCGGTCGTCATTGTTTTCCAACTTTGATGAAAATAACACTTTATAAATTTCGTGCTTTATTTGTTTTTCGTTCATTGTTTTAACAATAATCAAGCTGTTGGTTTAACCCTCTTGCTGCCGGAGAGACATATGTGTCCACACCGGCTGTGCCGGAGGGACACATTTGTCCATGTTTTAATTTATGCAAGATTCTCATCATTGCTGTATCTCTTTCAAATAAAGTACCGAAAATTAAACAGTGTAATATTTTTCTTCGTTGAGTCCCCAATGTAACTGTTTGGGTTTAGTTGGGTAGTACTTCGCTTTGTGTAAAAAGAAAGACGTGTGTATATTCAAAATCTGTTTACTATACTGACTAGAGACGTTATGCATACAATAATGATATGACTTTACAATACGTTACTTAAGGTGGTTAATAACACTACAGGGATTTAACTCTGTAAAAATTAGCTGAACGTTTCTATCACGTTCTATTGTTAAGGAAATAATAAGCTTCTCAATGATCAAAATTAGTGTTTGTCAAACTGCTATATATCCAATGAAATTTTTCCGATAAAGTGTTTGGTTCAAGTTTTTTGAGTTTTTTATATTTTTGTCAAAGGGTCAAATAAATATTTTGTCAAAATTTTAAGAAAATTAAACGAGCCAAATTAATTTTAGTCGATGTGTTTGGTACCACCTTAAGTTACGTTACAGTCTTTGACGTTAACAATAAGAGTTTCATTAGTTAGTGTATCTGTATTGCGGCTAATTCGTAATACTCCGGCCGCAGGAAAGTGAAAAGTAAAAAATTAAATGAAATCGAAAATTTCACACATTCACATTAATTTAAATTCATTTAAAGTCCACGTATTGAAACGAATTACTTCTTTAAAGTTCATATGAAGAAATAGAATTTACTGAACAGTCTCTGTGTAAATAACAAATTATAATGTCCATTGTTAAATCGTTGGCCTCTTCCTTTGATCAACGAAATTTGGTAGCCTTTTTGATTGTCTAATGTTCATCCGAAACTTAAATTCAATGGGTATAGTTTTGCATTTAGGCGATTAGTTAATCATTTTTTTCTTGATCGGCGTTTGTATAATTTCAGTGTTTCTGGTTCCCTGTTCAGTCTATTGATCATGCTTAATGGTCTATTCTCGGTTACATTATATATACTCGGTAGCTTAGGAAAATCCTCTGTCCATGGTAATTTAGTTATGTAGTGATTGTCGCGATATGATAGAGTTGTTTCGTATGACTTGTAGTAGTTTTTGTCCTTTTGTG